CAGTGATCTCTGTCTCAAAAGGAATTAATCTCTCACTGTCAACTCAATAATTCCCTTGTTACACACAAACAAATCACCATCTCCCACTCCATTAAAACGGGTCTTATGATTCCGAGCATTAAATTCATAATTGCAAAATAATTGCTTGCTTATAATTTATTTTGAAAGATTCTAGCTTCTACTGCTCAATGCCCAGTTCCCTCTATTAGGCTTTCCAGAAATACATTCAATTAAAATACAGCAAAAAAGAATTTACATGTGACCAATAAGAATCAACTAGAACATATAGGGAGAATGAAGAATAGACATATTTCAGCAAATCCAGAAGTCAGAAACAATATATCACCTCTCAAGTATCAACTAATGTACTAGTCAAACAGCAAACTATCAATATGTATTCTGGATATGAGTGCACTTCAGCAATTTTAGAGTTTGAAGGTTTGGAGTATGCATTTTAATTTGCTATAGTAGGATAAGATTCTTCACCCATGTTCTGTAGTCTAAAGAGTAATTTTTTGTTCCAAAAACCAGAGCATTTTCTCTTAAATTTGATATCCGATTATGTTAAATGGTCTACTAACATATTAGATTGCAATATAGCAATAACAGTTGTTCACGTGTTCTTATTCAGCTACACAAAGAAAAAATGGTCATTTTTTAAAAAGGTAGAAACTCTAGAATCTCTAGTAATAAATTGTCATTCATTCTTGAGAAAACTCCACTTTCAATAGGGTTGAAATACATATAATGAATAGTTCATTCTATGAAAGTAGCATTAGAAGAATTCTGCACTCACATACTTGATAAAATTCAAATCAAAATCCACCAAGCCTAGCCAAATTGAAATTTAGTTAATAGTTCTACTATAACTGAAGAAGTTGAAGCCTGAAGACAGTGTTATTTGTGATATATATGAAACATTGTTAACTTTGTCAGACCTATAAGAATATGTTCGGGTGAAAGAGTTTTGATGAAAGGCAGCATACATTTTCATTTTAGAATGAAAGGAACAAGAATAGATATTACCTTGTAATCTCCCGGTCACCCCTTATTCATTTTCGTAAAAGAATTATAACTCTTACAAAACTGAGAAATTAGCATTCCCTTCCCTCTCCTGATTTGATTTTCAAGAAAAAAACAAAAATTAATATATAGATAATTGTAAGTTTGATTGAATTAAAATCACATGCAGCTGAGTGACTTATAATTCTCTCTGATTCCTTGTGAATATGAATATGAATATATCTAATCTTTTATATACTGTTTATCTTGTGTTCTGAGCTGAATGAAGTGAACTACCCTAGTTTCAATCAAATAAAAATTCCTTAATGTATTTTCAGTGTACAGAGATGTCTTCCATAGGGAAAAGCATATTCATAAGGAGCACAGGGGATGTGTGCAAGAACAATAATAATACGGTTTTGAATGGGAAGAACAAGTATGTGCAGTGGCAGTTTCAACTTAGATCAAAATCAAACAGGTTCAGAACATGGAAGAAAGCAAGGAAATCATATCAACCTTCAATTCGAAGCCAAGCCATCCTTACCCCAGCAACCCCACCCACCACCAAAAAGGTACTCTACACTGAGATAGCTTTTTTTACAGGATCTAGTTAACATTGTCTAAATTTTCACAAATACATTAATTACTCCATAAAGTGCAAGAAATCAAGCATACATTAAAATGAGAGACAAACAGAGACACACGTGATTAAATAGATAGACATCACAATAACAACAAGCACACACTCCTCTCCCTTGTTTCTGCTTTGTTCAGTCACTCCTCTCCCTGCATTCACACTTTCACATGCTATCAAATCCTAGCTAGCTCTTAACAAACAAAAATGTGGTTTAAAAAGGTATGCAATCAATAAACGAGACACATATCCAACCAACATCTTACCTTCAGCCAACATCTGCTTCTACATTTTTTCAGATTATAAGCATTGTCTTCTATCTCATTGAGTTGGTACTTCAACTCTACATTCAAAAGCACACAAAAAATGAAGTGTTATGCGGTGAGAAAAATTAGGAAAAGGAGAAAAAATGAAAACCCTAACAGATGTTGTGCAGTGCGAGGAAAGGAGAGAAGTGTTGTGGATGTGGCACGGTGGAGGTGATGAGGAAAATATTTTCAGTTTTTAAATTCATAAAATAATCGTAAATAGGAAAATTTGGAGGAAATATTACTTAAAAAAAAAACAAATTACCTGTAAATTTATATTTAAAACAAAATTTGTAGGAAAATAAAAAAAAAATCCTACAAATTTTTTTAAAAATTTTATTTTGTGACAAAAAAATTCATATAATTAATATTTTTGTAGTAAAATTTGCAAGAATTTTCTGCCAATTTAAAATTACAAAAATATTTGGAATAATTTATTGGAGATTCACATTTGCAAGAATTTTTGTAATAATTTCCTACAAATATTTTTGCATGAAAATTCTTAGGTAAATGACATATTTTTAGTAGTGTTTGAACTTAGTTATTTTTATTTCTCTGCCTTATTAGTAAAATAAATTAGTAACTCCTTTTGTTGTTCTATCTGTCTGGTGTTTTAGTGTGCTATACCGTGTGAGTGACCAGCCGGGTCGTTACATATAGCAATTAATATGTTCGTATCCACCATCCTTTTCCAATTTAATATTTAAGGTTATGCATAAAAATTAAAGATTATGCATAAGAATTAAAAAAATATTGATATTTTAATATTTCAAAGTATTTATTATTTATTTTTTTATTATACTTTTTAATAATTAAAAAAAATAAGTATATTGAAAATGAATAAATAAATTATTTAGTAAATATATATTAATTATTAATAGTGAAAATGAAAATTTTTTAATAAATTATTAATTTTATAAAAATAACAATAAAAAATATTAAAAAAAATAGTGTCAAAATGTCTATAAAAAAAAAAAAAAGAACGGAAGGAGGATCGGTTAAAAGCCAAAGCAAACTTTTTGGAAGATCAACACGAAAGCAAGACATTTATTTCACTCGTCACTCTATTTAATAATACACCCTCATTTAAAAAAATAAAATAAAAATTCTAAACTACTCTTACTTCAATATTCTGTGTGACAAATATATCAAGAGAAAGAAGAAGGCTCTCCATTTCAAAAAGATAGATCCAAAATACAGTTTTAACATTTTTAAATGGATATGATACATATTTTTAACATTTGGGTTCATTGTTTCAAAAACACATTTACTATTTTAGATTAGGTAGTGTTTTGGATTTAACATTGGATATAGATGTTTTAGAGCACATTTTTAATTTAGGATTTGAGTATTTTGGATTGGAAAAAATTGAAGGACATTTTAGGAACTTTTTATAAATAATAATGGGCATATCTTTTATATTCTTAAAAGATATGATGACGACAATAAAATTTGAGTTAATCACCTATATATTGTCAGTGTAAAGTTTTTTTATACTGATACTCAATCAGAGTTGTTAATAGTGTCTTTGCATCTGCTTATTTAATTAAATTAAAATAAAAAAAAGTACTATTAACGGTTCTGATTGACTGTTAGTGTAAAAAACTTTACATTGACAGTGTATAGGTGATTAACTCATAAAATTTTGCCAATACTATTTTAACATTTCTCCTTCAAACTGATTCTATGATTTTGTTTCACATATTAAGAAATCATTCTAAAATATGTGAGGATGAAAATGTAGAATTCCCATGCTTGTTTTGAGTTTTAGAAACATATTTTTAGATATTATTTATTCTTGAGAAAGTAATTATGTTATGATTTAAATCATTTTAATTTTCATAAAATAGGTGGAACAATTATATTTTAGTGAGAATAATGATGAAAGTTATTATCTAACTTAACTATAACTTTCATTAATTTTAACTTTTATTTTACTTATTTTAAATTATAAAATATTCTTAAAAGTATTTAAATTTAACCAAGGTTAGGAGTTCGAATCCTGCCTTGTGTATGCAGCTGCATTAAATCTTAGGACCAGCTATCTTTACTTTTTGAGGTGCCTCCAACGTAGCGAGAAAATTAATCACTGCTATCAGTGATGAATACTCCAAGGACAAAAAAATTTGTTTTAACCAAACATATTTTTTACACACATAGAAATAACATTCCTAATTATATTTCATGGAAATATGTTGTTTAAATAATGGGCACATGAAATAAAGTGACGGCTGCGTGAAGCAACTGTAGACAATTGAATGCTGAGTGGGTGCAATCTTTTACAACAATAAATTTTCATGATTTTTTATTTTTATTTTTTCAAAAATGGTTTCCCCTATAACCTTTTTACATCTACCAAAATTTTTGATGTATTAATTAAACCAATAATTTTTATAAGATTTTAAATATTTTTATAAAATAAAATATTAACGAAAATCAATATAAATATACTATATATCCATTAAAGTTCCATTATAATACATCTAAAACGTTCCTCCGTTTTTTTTTTTTAAACGTGGTAGTCAATCCAACCCATATCATCTTTTCATTTAAATAATTGTTGTTGCTTTCTTGACATGGAATAGTCAATGAATTACAAAGGTCTTACTATCGTACCAACTCTCTAACTACTTATAAACCCTCTTGCCGAGTTTCCAATACATCGCAAATCATATTTTATTTTTCACACTCTTTGTTCTTCTACTCTTATCAAAATTTCATATCTAGAAGATTGTGATGGGCACTTCCTTTCTTAAAGTCTTGTTTGCAGTGTTAGTGTGCTTTTTGCATACAAAACAATCCATTCTTGGACTCAACTCTCCATCACATGTGAAATGCATTGAGAAAGAGAGACAAGCACTCCTCAACTTCAAACATGGCCTCCCAGATGACTCTGGCATGCTGTCTACATGGAAGGACAATGACTATAACAGTGATTGTTGCATATGGCAAGGCATTCAGTGCAACAATGAAACTGGTCACGTACACATGCTTCAACTCCCTGGTCAGTATCCTCAACATTTGAAAGGTGAAATCAGTATCACTTCATTGTTAGAGTTGCAAAATATGGAATGTTTGGATCTCAGTTACAATCTTTTCAGTAGCAGTCAAATCCCACAACACATGGGTTCCTTCAAAAGCTTGAGATATATCAATCTATCATACTCGAGTTTTGGTGGAAATATTCCTTATAAAACTGGGAAATCTCTCAAAGTTGGAGTATCTTGATCTTAAACAAACTTCTCTTGTTGGAGTAATCCCCTCTCAACTAGGGAAGCTTACAAGATTACGTTATCTTGATCTAAGTTACAATTTTGATATCTATGGAGAAATCCCTTATCAACTTGGAAATATTTCACGGTTGAGGTATCTTGATCTTTCGGGAACTTTACTTTCTGGAACAATTCCTTTCCAGGTTGGGAATCTTCCTAACTTGCATACTGTTAAACTTGCTAGCAATGTTGATCTTAAAATTAGTGATGCAAAGTGGTTATCTTCTCTCTCTTCATTAAAGGCTCTAGACTTGAGTTCTTTGCCTAATCTTGTCTCCTCTCGTCAATGTATACAAATGATTAGTGACCTTATTCCACACTCGAGAGAGTTGAGGCTAGCTGGTTGTAGACTTTCTGATGATAATGTTTCATCTTTGTTTCCTTCTCTTTCAAACTTTTCCACTTCTCTTTCCATCCTTGATCTCTCTTACAATATGCTCACGTCATCAATATTTCAATTGTTGTTGAAATATAGCCTTAATCTCCAAGAGCTTTATCTTTCTCAAAATAATATTATTTTGTCTTCCCCTCACTATCCAATCTTTCCTTCTCTTATGATCCTTGACCTCTCTTTTAATAATCTGACATCATCCTTGTTTCAAGGATGTTTCATCTTTAGCTCCAAACTATGAGAACTTCATCTAGCAAATTGCAGTCTTACTGATAAAATTTTTCTTGTACCATATGCTTCCATTAAGAAACGTTCATCTTCTCTTGTCACCCTTGATCTTGCTTACAATTTATTGAAATCATCAGATATATTTCACTGGATTTTCAACTTCACTCCCAATCTTCATAGCATTTACCTTGATCAAAACTTGTTAGAAGGTCCCATTCCGGATAGATTTGGGAAAGCAATGAACTCTCTTGAAGTTCTTCGCCTTGGTACTAACAAACTGAAAGGCACGATTCCAGCTTCTCTTGGGAATTTATGTACATTGCAGGAATTACACCTTTACAATAACAACTTGAGTGGGGGAATTTCCAGCTTCATTCATAATATTTCATGGTGCAACAGACACAAATTTCAGTCTCTGAATTTATCTCATGATCTGGCTATTGGCATGCTACCTAATCATTCAATTTTGAGTTCTTTGAGAGCATTAGATCTTTCCCGTAATCAGCTAACTGGAGAAATACCTAAAAGCATTGGGTTGCTGCATGATTTGGATTATCTTTACCTAAATGGCAATAACTTAGAGGGTGATATCACTGAAACACATTTCACAAATTTATCCAAATTGAGGGTTTTAGACTTATCAGACAACTCATTCTCTCTAAAGGTTGGTACTACCTGGGTTCCACCTTTCCAATTATTTCGTTTGGGACTAGCTTCTTGCAAATTGGGTCCTACTTTCCCAAGATGGCTCCAAACTCAAAGTCAGATAGAATTTCTAGATATTTCTGACGCAGGGATTGACGACTTTGTACCGGAATGGTTTTGGAACAATTTACGGTCTTTATGTCAGATGAATATGTCTTGCAACAATCTCAAAGGTACAATTCCAGATTTACCAATCATGTTTGCTGGTGGAAATAGAAATATGTTAATTCGAAGTTCAAATAAACTTGAAGGTGGAATTCCCACCTTTCTAAAACAAGCTGACTCATTGGATCTTTCCAAAGATAAGATTACAGATTTAAAGACATTCTTGTGTGGAAAAAACATAACCACAGAAATGCGGACTTTGGATTTATCAAAAAATCAAATAATGGGACAATTGCCCGACTGTTGGGAACACCTAACTTCATTAAGATATCTTGATCTAAGTAATAATAAATTGTCTGGGAATATATTCCACAATCCTTGGGTACTCTTGTTTATCTGGAAGATTTGGTCTTACGTAACAACAAATTATCTGGAGAACTACCACTCACATTGAAGAACTGCACTAATTTAGTTAAATTAGATGCGAGTGAAAATTTCTTGTCTGGTCCAATACCTCCATGGATTGGAGAAAGTCTAAAACAATTGAGAGTCTTGAGCTTGCGAGTAAATCACTTCTTTGGAAGTGTTCCTGTTCATATATGCTATTTGAGGCAAAATCATCTTTTGATTCTTTCAAGGAATCACTTGTCAGGAGGAATTCCAACATGCCTGACAGTGTGTTTGGATAGAGTAATTTTTTGAAGTAATTCATTTATTTAAAGAATTTTAAATACTTCATGATTAAATGATTTGTTTGGATAAATGATTTAGAAAGAAATTCAAATTCTGTCATTTTTACGGAGTATTTTAATTAATTAAATTTGTAGAATTTGAAATTCCGTAAAAAAGTGGAGAATTTGAAATTTATCCACTCACGCTCGGTCATTCGCAAAAGCACACAGGCTCTCACACTCTGGCTCACACCCTCTCACTCTCTCGCACGCAATGCTCGTGCTCACTCGCTCTCGTGATGCTTGGAGTCTCTCTCGTTACGCTCTTCTCTCGCAATGTTCCTTTCTTGCGATTCTCGTAATCTAAGCTCACTTTCTTCCGATTCTCTTACTCATGATCATGGCTTTCCCTCTCGCTTATGATCCTTGCTTTTTCCCTCTTGCGCGGTATTCTTGATTTCTCCCTTTACTCAGGTTCATTTTTTCTCTCTTTCAAATTAGGGTTCCATTTGAATTTTTATTGAATTCGTTGTTGAATTTGTTATTGATTTGGGTTTATAAATGTTCTATATATATAGATATTACTATTATTGAACAGTGACTGCAAGTGGTAGACCACGTTTAAGGATTGATATTATTTTTCTGCTATATATTCCAGTAGGAACAGAGTTGGAGCTGTAGAGCTTCCTTACCTTATGAATGAAGATTGACATTAGAATTATTTTTTTTGCAGGTCAAATTTCAATTATCTAAATTGTAGTGGATTCATTACTGCAATTTTAGAGACAGTTGATTAGATCATTTGTGCTGCATTTATCAGGTGGATTTCTACTTGAACTTTATATTTGCTTAATTATGTTTTATAGAATAGTTAATAATTAGCATATATGCAGACTAAAAACTGCATATAGAATTCCATATTTTGTAAAGATTTTTATCTACTGAAGGTATACATTTCATTTCCTGAAACTTACCAATAATATGGTTAAATTTACTTGGGGCAGATTTTGCAGCAGAATTATCAAAGGTATTGTATATTTCTGCTATACAAAAATAGGTTCATGATAGGTATTTTTCAAGGCAGAGGAGAGTTATTATAAGGTGTCACCTTGGGCAGCTTCATCTTTTTTCCCCAACTTTTATCTCTGCTGCAAATTGGTGTTGGTTGCTTTTTGATTCTTTAATTAAATAAAATCATTATATGCTCTTTCTCTTCCCGTGTCTATACAATTGCCAAATTATGAATTATTGTCATGTTTATCTTGCATGCATGTAGCGGAATGGCCTGATGTGATTTATGTTAATGATTTCATTTAACAGGACAAGGCTTTTGTTCTTCTTCATCTTGTGTGCCAATTTTTGATATTTTTGTATTAGAATTGAAAAGGATTATTGTACATTACCCTTGAGATTTCAAATAAATATGAAATTCTATGATATGAGCGCCATCTTCATGAAAAAACACTAAATTCAGTGCTCAGTTTTTGTGACATCATTGATAGCAGTATAGTGATGTAGCAGCTATGCAAAATTGGAAAAATCTGATAGAGAGAAGATATACTAATACTTGAGGTAAAAAAAAAAATAGAAAAAGAAATCAATATAAGGTTCAACCTTGAAGATTAACATTACAATGCATCCAATATAAAAAAAAAGTTTCAATAACTATTATAAATAAATAGAGAGAAATCTATGTTATAGGTCCCTCAAATTTTAGTCAAAATTGGTCTTAGTCCTATACTTTTAAAAATAATGACTTTCATCCTCATATTTATTATAATCAGTAAATTTAGGAATTAAAACAAGTCTTAGTCCTATACTTTTAAAAATAATGACTTTGATCCTCATATTTATTATAATCAATAAATTTAGGAATTAAAACACAATTTATCCATAAATAAATCACAGTTGTTAATACTTATATATATATATATATATATATATATATCAGAGGAACAAATTAATAGCCTAGTTTTTATATATGTATGAGAGTGGAATGGATTGATTTTGATCCTGCACGTTAATTTAGTGAAACGAGTTAAATGCACAGTGAAATCATTAGTCATATCTATGTATGTCAAATAAATGAATATACACTAATAGTTAAATATTAGTCTTATATATAATATATAAGACTATCAACAATATTGGCTTTTGTACTTTTATCTTCTTCGTTAAGCATATGCTAGAGATTTTGCTTTCCCATTAATATAGTCAAAGAAGAATTCTAGTAGAGCTATAGACTTGGTAGAAATTTCCCATTAATGCTCAATGCTAAAAGACAATGTACCTCTATTGGAGCTTAATTTTTTGCATTATTTTTTATTTACTTACTTTTTAGTATTTTTTTTATATGTATTTTTAATTCTAATCATGTACAAATTTTATTTGTGTTGCAGCAATGGCGGATTTCAACTCTACATTCAAAAGCACACAAAAAATGAAGTGTTATGCGGTGAGAAAAATTAGGAAAAGGAGAAAAAATGAAAACCCTAACAGATGTTGTGCAGTGCGAGGAAAGGAGAGAAGTGTTGTGGATGTGGCACGGTGGAGGTGATGAGGAAAATATTTTCAGTTTTTAAATTCATAAAATAATCGTAAATAGGAAAATTTGGAGGAAATATTACTTAAAAAAAAAACAAATTACCTGTAAATTTATATTTAAAACAAAATTTGTAGGAAAATAAAAAAAAAATCCTACAAATTTTTTTAAAAATTTTATTTTGTGACAAAAAAATTCATATAATTAATATTTTTGTAGTAAAATTTGCAAGAATTTTCTGCCAATTTAAAATTACAAAAATATTTGGAATAATTTATTGGAGATTCACATTTGCAAGAATTTTTGTAATAATTTCCTACAAATATTTTTGCATGAAAATTCTTAGGTAAATGACATATTTTTAGTAGTGTTTGAACTTAGTTATTTTTATTTCTCTGCCTTATTAGTAAAATAAATTAGTAACTCCTTTTGATATGGAAAGGGAGAATACATTGTTTTTTATATAAAAAATTATCTACATCTTGGGAAGAAACTGAATTTAGAAATTTACTTATTAATTTCATTCTTTAATCTTTCAATCGCTAATTCCGAGAAGTACCATTTCACTTCATTGTATCCGTTGCTTATATTTTGCCATACGCATATATTATGTATAATCTGAATTGTAGCATAAAATTAAATTTGCAGTTTATGGCGGACTAGCTTCAAAATTCCACACTCGAATGAAAGCATCATGCATTGTTGGATGTGTTGGATATATGTGTAATATTGATGTGTACAATTAATGTAAAGCAAATCATTGTTTGAAGAAATTTATTGATCTGGTTGACTTTTATTGTATATTCTATTTGTAATTTTATATTTTATTTTCTTTTTAAACGGAGACCTTGTAATATATAAATTAAAATGTAAAGGTTTATATTCCTTGTTTTATGATGAGGGCGCTGCTAATAGTCTGTCACATTCAAATTGTTATCCAAATTTGTACATGACAACAAAAATGTCATATGTCCAAATAATGCTGGTTGATCTTATTCCTGGTATGTTAATGTCCATTGAGTTTTAATTTGATCACAATTTTCATAAGCCAAAACTGAAAAATTAGAAAAGGCAGATTCGTCTAATTAGTCTGTAGTCATTGTTTAGCCGGAGTTTGACAAAACAGGTCAAAACAAGTATGAATAATTTTTTACTTGGTCTAATTTGGTTTCACCAAAAAGAATAACATTACAAAAGTCAAGTGAAAAAGTTTGTGCCCATATAACTGAATTGGTATCCAAAGCTCATGATCAATAGATAAATTATCAAATGAAACCGAGGATCCTTGCATAAAAACAAATAAAGGAGACAAAACAAATAAAAGGGTTAAGACAAATAAATTAAAATATATATTTGTTATAAGCATTCAATCATTAAAAAAAAATTGAGATTGTTATGGATTTAAATTGCATAATGGCTCAATGGATATATATGGTTAATTAAGCTACTTAAGTGCATATATTTGAATTCTTAATCATCAATATACATACCAAATATTCACCATTAGACATGATTATATTGAATTATAAAGTACTCCTATTTTTTTTTTTTTTTGACATTTAACACACAAAAATTAAGAAAATGACTGATATTTTAGTTTTTTTTTAAGTATTTATTATTTATTTTTCTAGTATACTCTTCAGGTGGTTGGAAAAAGAATAAGTACATTGAAAATGAATAAACACATTGTTCAATAAACACACATTAATTATCAAGGGTAAAAATGAAAAAAAATAATAATAAGTCATTAATTTTAAAAAAAATGATAATAAAAAAATAATAAAAAAATAGTGTCAAAATAACTATGAAAAAAAAATGGAAGGAATATTGTTCTATACTCCTAATTACTATATTAATTAACTGCACTCTCAATTATAATGACCCTTCGTCATGAGAATGACCATATTGCTGTGTATTTGACACGCATATTTTAATGCATTAATTTGGATGATTTGTTATTTAATAATGTGAATAATTGATAGATTATATTTGATTTGTATTAATGATTTTAGTTAGTGATGATTGTAAATTCTAATTAATTTTTGCAATTTGACATATTTTTACACTCTACGTAGACTATATCTAGAGCTCCTAACATCGCACTTGATCGTTCATGATGTTCCTGGATAGATAAGAAAGAATTCTACAACTTCTTTATTGGAAGCAAAAACCAATTCGAATATTAAGTGCCCAAAAATGCATTGCAAAGTTTCGATCCTGCATAGTATTTTTTCTTAATTA